GGGACTGTCCATGTTACACACTTTTTTTTTTGCGGAGGACACGCACAGTTAACTGATTGCCAAACTAGATTATGTCAGGGAAACATCTGGTTTATGATTATTAATAGAGTAACTTAAATAATACCATATCTCTTTGTCCAGTGCTAGTATCGTACGTTTGATATAAGTCCCTAACACTACCTGCCAGAGTGTTCATATATACTATTAAACTCACAGCCCTGCATAGTACCTGAACTTCTGATTTTGTATGCTGCTGACAGGGAGGGTGTTGTGACGATTTCCTTTCACATGTGATGTGCTGTTGCTGTGCTCTTGTTCAAGAATGGCGCGAAGTAGAGATTCGTGGTGCATACGGTGAGTTTCCTATTCCCATGCGCACCAGTCAACCATGGACTATGATTTTCAGTTCTTACTCAAGCATGTGATAGGTGTTAGGACTGATATAGGAGCTCGGTTTTAGCCACTCTGTGAAAATGAGCTGCATGCTGTTCCGCTCCACTCTTTTGACTCCATGGAGTTGGTGCGTTCGGCGTCGCTCCGCCCGCTTCGGGAGCGCAGTTGAGGAGCGGAGAGGATCCGAACAGGCACTAGCATTGTTCAAAATGTGCTCTTGACAAACTTATGACAGAAAATTTTATATATAATCAAGCTGATACAATACTGAAGTCTCATTGCTTAGGATAGAAACAATTCAAATTGCTTTGCTTTATGGAACATTATTTTGAATGTCCTGCAGGAGGGAAGACAAAGATAACCCCGCCGGCACACCAGTACATGGAGCACTGAGACTCTGCGATCCCTGAAAAAAAAAGCAAAAAAAAAGCAGCTACTCTGCGAGAGGCCTGGGCTCCTGTAAATTAAAGATATTGACCTAAAATTGTCAGAAACCGTACTGCCATGTTAGTGATACCCGTCCAACATGCTCTACTGTTTGTGTTGTATTTATGCGTCATCTTGGTATTATGGGTCTTAGAACTCAGTTAATTTGTAAAAAGTAACTAAACTCGTCAGTCTCAGGCCGGTTAGAGTCAGTGTTAACATTGCCATTGTTGTCTATATATTCCAAAGAGGACGTGTTTTTTTGGCTCGTGTTTTCCCCTTCTTTTTCCGAGCAACCTGCCTTCCCATTTAGTTGAAACACAATTGAACATTTAGTAAAAACTGGTTAAAAACCAAGTTTTTACTTGTGTTTTACCTGAATGACAATACTTCCTTCGATTTGTACTAAATCAGCAACAATTAATATGGATCAGAGGGAGTAGAAATAAAGTTCCACTGCTCACAGTTTGGAATGTTCATTAGTCAAGTGGTGATTTTGACAAGAAACACAACATGATTTAATTGCAGAGGGTGGCCACACGTGAACATTTGTACTTCTCCAAGGCATAGGGCGACCAGTCATGCAAGGGCCTCGTATGTCTGGGCCTCTCCGTTGAGAGGACCTGGTCACCCATTATTTTCCGTCTGCTACAACACATACATCAAAATTGACACCCTAAATTCATACAACATCATGCAACACTAAAAGCTATATCCACTGTTCTTAAATATAAGGCGTTTTGGCAGTTCAATTTAAATTGCCAAAAGATCTTAACATTTAGAAACAGAGGTACTCCCTCCGTTTCAAAATAGATGACCCAACTTTATACTAATTTTGTACTAAAGTTAGTACAAAGTCGAGTCATTTATTTTGGAACGGAGGGAGTAGTAAGTTTTTGAACTTGCTGGTGCAAGTTTTAAAACTGTCGGTGCATGTTTTGGATTTGAGGTCGCCGGCTTCACTGTAACATTCCAATAACCACTTAAAACATGTGGTGTCAACATTCAGAAGACAGTTAATGGCTAGCACTTGCTACCACTTCTTGCTCGATGTTCACATTAATCTGTTCCACGAGTCAACTAGCAACAGGCAGTGCATTTCTCGCGCTCTGGACGTAGCAGAAAGACAGAACAGTGGGAAAAAAAGATCCATCTTCTCGTGGCGCAAATATAAATACAGACTTCCCTACATGCAATCAAAAACAGCCGGTAAGAACTAGGAGCGCCCTCCAGTTCACTTGACCTGCTAGCCGTTCGAAGCCTTCACTCGCCTGAGGGACAGGTAGGCCAGCACCCGGTACCCGATGATCATCGCGACCAGGGCCCCGACTTCGGTCACGCCGTTATCCAGAGGTACGGAGGTCATCAGGATGTCCGGCACGGGGTCGTACTGCACCTTCAGCAGCAGCCTGTACGTGTGGTAGTTGAAGGACAGGTACCGGAGCCAGGATATGAATGGCGGAACCCTCTGCAGATTAGAGGGGAAAGGAGGGCAAATTGTCAGTAACCCAAGCCATATGCTAGTTATTGCAAGATTGAAGACATATGTTTGTTCAAGAAGCAATAATTCAGCCTTGCCCCTTCCATAATACTCCCTCCGTCTGGAATTACTTGTCGCAAAAACACATAGAAATAAATGTATCTAGAACTAAAATACATCTAGATACATTCATTCTTGTGACAAGTAATTCCGGACGGAGGGAGTACTAAAGTTGTACTGAACCAAAGACACTCATTTTGGGACGGAGGGAGTAGTAAAAATTCAGCTTTGTATCGGTTGATAGGTTTGAATAGTACTTGCTCTCACCTTTACAAAGAACCCTCCTGCTAGCATGAATGTCATGACTGTGACTGAAGCTAGAGTAGTCGCCTTCTTGATATCCAAGAGGGTAGCTCCAATTGCCAGTCCTAGTCCCTGCATACAACCCCCTTCTTGAGTCATAGATTTCAAATCAGTGTTAATGTTCTTTTGAGGCATCATGTAATATTATCATGTAGATTAGGAAACCTTTTCCCTTACTAATAGGCAACACATCTGATGGAATGATAGACTAGAAAACGGTGTGCTTCTTTCCGAGGAAAAAAATTGCTTGCCATCTATTTATTTCGAGAGAAACAAATCCCTTACGACCTACTCCCTCCGTATCAAAATATAAGACATTTTGTAGGTAGTTTAGCCTACAAAAGCGTCTTATATTTTGGTACAGAGGTAGTAGATGTTCGTTCTGTTTTACTAATCCAAAATAAAGTCTGTTTTAACTAGTGCATGTATGGTGGCCACATGGTTAAATAACATAAAAAACTTCCAGAATATCAAATATCTAGGTTTACTTAGTTCACAAACAGCAATATAAGAGATGTCATGGGCATTGATTGTATGACTGAACCTGTTTTGACTGCCATACCTGAGCAGCAATGATGCTGAGAAAGACGGTCAACATGCTAAGAAAGAAACGCATGGCACTTGCTTTGAGGCCTGCCATGAAGTAGACAATCACCATAAATATGACTGGGAGGAAAAGGTCTAGTGGCAGATCACTTGTCGTTCTGGCCAAGAAGTATGCACTGAGCTTGTACATGTCAGCTGCACGCTCCTTGTTCAACATTGCCCTCTCTTGAGGGAATGTGAAGATGGCAGTAAACACAGGAAAGAAACCCCAAAACACGGCTATGAAAAACAGTAAGCCTGCCTGCATAGACGAGAGGGCAGTGTCTTATGATGGTACATATCCTTAATTAGTTGTAGAAGTATTAAATTGACCAATTTAATTATCAATTACATGTATCAAATAATTATTTGTGTGCATATACCTGATCTTGTAGACCTTTTGGTGTGGTGGGATCAGAGCGCCACCAGAGCAAACCTAAGATAACTGATGTAGCTATGACCTGGGTGATTCTCATCCAGCTCAAATAATCATGCCGTCTTTCCTTGAGACCTCTACAGAAGAGGATGGAATATTGCTGGCACCAGTTTGTGCCCCACTCTCGTTTCGAAGATGTTATTGTTGCCTTCATATCATCACTGATCGGAAGTGGTGCTAGAAGCTTCTTCTTCTCCTTATATGCCACTCGATGCTCATAGGCGTCAACAAGATACTGCATGAAATCACATACAAATTATTCGTACAGATCTAAAACAGTTTGTGTACTCACAAGTCACAACACCAGCATATTGCTTTCATGTCTTCACCTCATGAACATCTTGTGCTGAAGGCCTTAAGTTAATCTTGGAATTAGTATCCTGCAGATTCTGATTTTCCATGTGCACCTTGTCATCTAATTCGGAAGGAACAGACACATCGTTAGTGTTGCCATTAGCAAGATCCAGTAGAAACTCTGCTGGGTTCATTGCGATGAGCGGGTTGCATCCAATGGATGAAAAGTAGGGCATGGCTTCAGCTGTCTTCCCAAAGTAGAGCAAACTTCCCCTGCCCAGGAGGATAAGCTTGTCAAACTTATGAAACAGCCTGCTGGATGGTTGATGGATCGTGGTGATCACTGTCTTCCCAGTCTGCATCAAGTAAAACATAATTAAAGTTCAACTGAACTGTAGGGGCAGCTAATGTGTAATTACTTTCATGTTACCTCAGCAATGTCATGTAGAAGTTGAACTATCCTAAGTGCTGTAGTTGAATCCAACCCGGATGTCGGCTCATCAAGGAAAAGCAAAGATGGATTGATTATAATCTCATTTCCGATGCAAACTCTTTTTCTTTCACCCCCTGAAACCCCACGCACAAAAGATCCTCCAATCATTGTGTCCTGGCACCTTCAAACATGCTCACATGATTAACTAAACTACCTCGCTATATGTCAAAATAGACATTCTTATAAATCAAAGAAAATATATGATATACCTCTCGAGTCCCAGTTCATATATGATGTCCATTGCCCGTTCTTTCTTTTGCTCCCTTGTCATTGTTCTTGGGAGACGAAGTAATGCTGCGTATGTTAGTGTCTCCTTCACAGTAAGATGAGTAAAGAGAACATCATCTTGAGTCACAAATCCAATCCTGCAAGCCAAGTATAATTCCAGCTATATGTCAGCATAGCATTGGCATCGCAACTCGAGGACATCCAAGCCTACTTCTAGCTTCATAATCCTAATCCTCAAACAAACAGTGCATGCACTGACGACAAGCAATATACTGTAGTTGGTTTCAGTCGATAACCAGAAACCAGGAGGACTATGGAGCACTGACCTGGGTCAGGAATTATGCCGAACAGATTGTAGGCAGGTGGGTTCGCCGCGCACTGCTCGACCAAGAAGCAGGTACTTGTTCTAACTCACTTCCGTGACCGAATGAAGCACAGTCCTGACCCACCGGTTAGGCCATGATGAGCGGACGCCCAGGAGATCGTCGTCGGTCGTCTTGGCATTTGTGGTGATGGGTAGAGCCGTTAGCCGTAGAGGAGAGAGGACCCGGCTAGTGGTGGCAACCAAACTTTCCAACAGGGTCATGACACGATGGTGAAGGGAACACGAGGAGACGAAGGATCGGGACCACTAGGTGAAGGCGACGGCGAATGTCCTGATGCCGGAGAGATGCCTACAGAGTCGCCGGAGTTTGAGAAGACTCGCCGGCTCGCCGAGCAGGCCAGAGGCGACCGCCGTTTTGTGTTGCACTTGCTCGCGCGTCGCCTGGCCCAAATAAGGCCCAGCCATAGGGGCCCATACCCTTACTTGCCAAGTTGCCATCACTGGCACTATTTACCATGTTTGTCTAAACAACCATTTGCTCAAATAAAATGTCTAAAACAACCATTTACAATTTAAAAATGTTTCTTGAGAACCCATTTAAAAAATGTTATAAAAAACCTAGCTATTTACCGAAAAAGAACCCTAAAAAACTGCACCAAAAATAAGCTCATAAGGAAATAACTCGTCAACTCAAAAAAAGGAAAGGACTCGTCACTTTTTTTTCAAGATGAAAAAAAAACTGTCACTCTAGTCACACAGACAGGCACAGACACACAGACAGTACTCCCTCCGTTTTTTTAGTTTGTATATAAGGTTTGGTCAAAGTCAAGCTTTATAAAGTTTGATCAATTTTATATCAAACAATATCAATATTCACAACATGAAATAGTATTGTAGATGTTCATATTTTTTGATATAAATTTGATCCAACTTTATATAGTTTGACTTTGATCAAATTTTATACACGAAGAACGGAGGGAGTACGTAACGACAACCTAACTACTTAGAAAAATAATGCAATGATAGACTGACAGGTCAAGCTACTTGCATCCTCTATCTCAAAAGAAAAAAGAGTCCTCGCTTAATTAGACAAGGCAGCTGGAGGCCACCTTTTATCTTGCCGGCAAGCGAGGGAAGAACAAGAGCCACGAGATCGACCAGGACAGATTAGCAGCAGGATAACCGTGAGTCGTGCCTAGCTAAGGCTCCTTTATTAGCCGATGGACACTTCTGACAGGCAACGGCCATGCATGGGCTACACGTACGTGACGCACCTGTAGCATGGGCTACACGTACCTCATGCACCTCCCATGCATCGATGGTGTTAGGCCACGCGACACGATTTGATTATTGAGAAATTATTCGTCGCAGGGCCTAATTAATGGGAGGTAAACTAAGCATGACCTACCTCTGGCTATGGCTAGCTTTGCTAGGGTTAACTGCTGGGTAGATAGAGCTAGGTATATGTGAAGTTACCTGCGCTTGAGGGACTTGCCGAAGGGCTCGTCGTTGTAGGAGATGCAGCCGTCGGCGGCGGTGGCCCTGCCGCCGAGCATGCTGAGCAGCGTGGTCTTGCCGCTGCCGGACGGGCCCATCATCGCCAGCACCTCGCCGGGGCTCGCCGACCCCGATATCCCGCTCAGTATCTCCCTCGGCGTCCCCTTCACCGCCACCCTGTACTTCACCTCCGCGAACTGCGTGCATGCATGGCAATGGCCGCCCCGGCGCACTCGGTTTAGGAGTCAGTTGTATGTGTTTGTTTTTGCTCTGCTTTAGTACACTAGCTAGCAAGTGGAGTACGTACCTTGAGGTATATGGGCAGGGTGGGCTCTGCCATGAGGCTCTTGCGGCGCGTGGCGCCGGCGGCCTCGAGGTCGACGTCGTCGTCGCTGAAGGGCGCGAGCTCGGCGGAGGACATCATGTCCTGGGGCGGCGGGGTGAAGCCGGTGAAGGTGAAGGAGAAGCCGAGGCTGGCGCTGGAGGCGCGGCTGAGCGCGGCGCCGCTGCTGACGAGGTCCTCCATGTCCAGCTTCAGCTGCGCGCTCCGGGACTTGCGGATGTGGCTGCGCCCGTGGCCATGGCTGTTCCCGCCGGCGCCGCTGCCGCCCGACGCGGAGCGCTTCCCGAAGCTGGACTTGCGCGACAGGCTGGCCACGTCGGCCGTGCTCAGCACCGTCTCCGCCGACGCCGTCCGGCTGAGCGACTGCGCCGTGGACGCCGACGCCGGCGCCGGCGGCAGCTGGTCCGACTTGCTCCGCCCGATCGCCCCGCCGTTGCCGTCCACCATCGGGCGCTCCATGATCGAGTCCATCGCCCGGCCAACCTCGATCGCCGGCTCGTACTATACTAGCTACGTACCAACGTACAGGCAGAGTAGAGGACGTGTGTGTGTTGTGTACACTAGACGGACAGACAGACAGGTCGGTATAACTGTAGCTTTTACAGGAGCCGTGAGAGGCGATATATACATACGGCAGGGCAAGCCCAGGCTGAGCTGCATGCTCGGCGGGACGATGGGGACGAAGGCGGGGAGGGAGGAGGGCGACGTGCGGGAGCGGGCGGAGGCAACGGAGGGGCGGAGGCGCGCCAGCGCAGCGGCCGCGCATTGATGGCGCGGGAAAGTGGGGGTGTGGCTGGGCGCGCCCGGGCTGCCACCCTCCGCACATGTCCCCCCTCACGACGCCGTATCCCCCAGGGCACCCATCGCCCCGGCTGGAGGCGCCGCGCGATGCGACAGGGCCGGGCCCCGTCCATCGCCCGCCGGCCCGCCGTCGCCGTCGCCGCGAGCGCCGAAGCCAATCCGTCTGGCGGGCAGGTCGCTTCCCGGCTGGCCTATCCTCGTGCGCGCGCCTGCTGCTTTTTCATGGATGGATGGATCGGCTCGTCCGGAGCACTAGTAGTAATTTGCTAACGTGGACGCATGCATGGACGCACGCATGACGTGCCGGGTGACCTCACGGACGGCTCAACCAGTCGGCCGGGCGGTACGCGTCCAACAGTTGCACCGCTGACCCCAGTCGGACTCCAGGTACTTCACACTCACGTACAGTACGTAGAATGTACGAACGCCCCTGGCTGCATGCTTCCTATAATCATCACACGTACAGCGCAATTAATCGGTCATCATGTGGGCTGCTCGTACGTGCGTACAATGGTGGTGGTGGACGATATCGATCGATCGTGTTTCCGTCGATCGGCACTGAGTTTTCTCGCTCACCTTCACTTTCTTGTTACGTGCTGACGAAACTGAGTTACCAAGGCGCTGTTGCATCCTAGCAGTGGCTAGACTGAGGCCTTGGATTTCATCCTCACAATGAAGGTCTAGCTTGGTCATGGGGACGAGGCCGGGTACGCTAGGTTATGTTGAAGTGCATCGACGTACATACGCGCGCGCCTTTGTGCTTTCCATGAGCAATGCTACACCTGCGTAGCAGATCTTATTGTAATTAACGTAAATGATTAAGCGGCATCGTTTGATTGGATGAAATTAGGGAAGGGGGCCCCATCAGTTGAAATCGGGGGGATTTATTGGTTAGGGATGAAAAGTTACATAGGTTTTCGTAAGACTTTTTCTAGGTCTAGCATTTTTGGTTTTCCATAGTCACACCATAGTCACACACACAACTCAATCAGTGGCGAATCTAGAAAATAATGGAGGGGATGCTGGGCTGCCCGGGTCAGACAAATATGTGTTGGATTGAGCCTGCAAGTAGCTGGATTGGACCTTAAAACTAGTAGTAAATACAAATTTTACAGCACTGGAGGAGGGGCTTGAGCCTGTTAACCCCCCCCTAGTAGATTCGCCCCTGAACTCAATAGTTCATGTGAACACCAACTAGTAACAATATATGGGCTATGCATGCAGCCTTAACGGTGTTCTCTTCTCGGCAATGTGTGTGGTCTTGTTGGTGCCAAGTCGGTTGGGTGATCTTTGTGGGCGTGTTGTGACGGTTTTTGCCCGGCTTTTTGTAATTAACCGGACATCTATTCTACCTTTTTTAATGAATCGGATCCTAAGGGACCGTGTTTAAAAAAAAAAGGGTTGAATGGTCGAGAACGGCTTGGGAGCAACCCTAGCTATGGCCACCCCGTCCCATCTCCTCCTTCCTATCTCGCCGTCGTCGGAGAAGCCACCAAGCTAAGCCAGGCAGGCTGACGACGACGGTTGGCTCAGCTCGTCTCCTTGTTGCGGGGTGCCCTCCGGCTGGGGAGCGGCTTAGTGGAGCCCGGACTCCTAGGCGGCGGCCCATGTGCCTATTGGTGGTTGTTGAGTCGCCATGGCTACAAGGGCACGGTGGTGGCGGCGGTGATGGTGGATCTGACCGTATTCCAGTCCGCAAAGACCGGGGGCAGGGGTTCTAGTCGGCCGACGACGTGATGCCGTTTCACATTTTGATAGTCAGGAAGGATTGGAGGGGCAGGGAGGACTGGATCACGACCTGGTACGGTTGAGGGCCGACCTCCCCTACAACGCCCACGTCTCATTCTTCGTGACCCCTTCGACATAGATACAGATACGCACAGTGATGCACAGTTGACCCCAGTCGGACTCCAAGTATTTCACACTCACGTACAGTACGTAGAATGTACGAACGCCCCTGGCTGTATGCTTCCTGTAATCATCACACTTACTACAGCGCAATTAATCGGTCATCATGTGGGCTACTCGTACGTACAATGGTGGTGGTGGACGATATTGATCGATCGTGTTTCCGTCGATCGGCACTGAGTTTTCTCGCTCACCTTCACTTTCTTGTTACGTGCTGACGAAACTGAGTTACCAAGGCGCTGTTGCATCCTGGCAGTGGCTAGACTGAGGCCTTGAATTTCATCCTCACAATGAAGGTCTTGGTCATGGGGAGGAGGGTACGCTAGGTTATGTTGAAGTGCGTCGACGTACATACGCGCCTTTGTGCTTTTTCCATAGTCACACACACAACTCAATTGTTCATGTGAACATAAAAAATCCATCTCTGCACCTGAGCTCATCTGCATCCGTGCTAACGATTTTTTTTTAAAAACAAATACTAGAAAAATTAAAAAAAATTCAATTTTTTTTGTGCGGTAGACAATTTTATGCGTGAGGTCCGCTCCGATTTTCAAATCATTTGGATATCTGAGGAGCTCTCAGAAAAAAGACAAATTGGGGGTCCGTAAAAATGCACTATTCATATACTGTTTTGGCCTTTTTTTTAGAGCTGCTCAGATGTTCAAACGACCTGAAATTTGGAGCGGGCCTCACGCATCAAATTTTCTACCGCATATTTTTTTAGATTTTTTTGAATTTGTTTTGATTTTTTTATGAATTTTTTTCTAACCAGGTACAGATGAGCCTGGGCACCGAAACGCCCTACTCATCT